CTGTTTATGGTTTCTGGGGTTAGGAACGTGCGTATTTTGGCGATGTTGCGGAGGTGGAGTCTGCATGAGTTTGTTAAAGATTTGACTTGGGGCTGGAAGGATAGGTTGGAGTCCAGAATGACACCAAGTACTCTGGCCTGCGGGGCGGGTTTGATGGTGGCGTTGTTGGATGTGATGGAGAAGTCAATGGGGGGTGGTGTCCGGGCTGGGGGGAAGACAAGAAACGAACACAATACATTGAATAATATTAACATATGTGAATATCTAGTCCAGCCCATATTTGAGCCATATAATAAAGCCTCCTAGTGGCTGAACCAAATATCCAACAAAAAAACCCAACAAATCAACTAAAAATCATCTATCAAAAATCATCAACAAACTAAACACAGGTATATTTTTTTACTTTTGTTATTAAGAGAGGATATCCTCTTAAAGTGTTTGCTGCTTTACTTTTATGATTCAATCACTTGAGTGGTTTGATTTTGTTATTTATTATTCATAGTTCAATTAAATATTAAAGTTGTTAGGTTATTTTAATGTTTTTTATATGGAGAGTCGATATTTAATGTGGTTGACAGATGGCCCCTCAGATGTGTAGGTCTATCAAGTCTATTGATAATTTTCTGTTGGCTTCTCTCACGTAACTGGATGTTGCAAAATGATGGTGATAGTGACTGGCTAAATGGCTAACTGCTGTTACTGTTTCAGGGTGATTTTTATTTTATGTGCTTGCACTCCATGCTTGAAATAGAACCTTTCTGTGTTCCAGGTTTCAATGCATTTAAATAGTTTGTTTAGGCCCATCTGCAATTGTACTATTTCCATTAATAAATGATCTGCCCAATGGGTGTGCTGTAATGAAGTTGCATCAAATACATACTGTAAGTAGCGTTGTGCAGAAGTATGGATAATTTCCTGTCTGCTGCCGGGTTTAAAGAGTAAGGCTTGTATTTTTGTCACTGAATACAAGACTCTCTCTGATGAAATTGGTGGAAATGGTAACATCATCCACTTGCCTCTTTACATCAGGCCATCAGAGGAATCCTGGTATTCACTGATAAAAATGCAAAGCTCTCCTGAGTGGCAGTGGATGGGAAGTTGCCCATACTGCTGCTGGAATACAGCACTATCTACTGTATGTAACTAATTCCACTACAGAATATTATTATAGTACACCCAGCAGCTGCATTGCTTAGAAATGGAAATACCGTATTTTCCGGCGTATAAGACGACTGGGTGTATAAGACGACCCCCTACTTTTCCTGTTAAAATATAGGGTTTGGGCTATATTCGCCGTATAAGACTACCCCTCTTCCAACGTACACCAAATAAAAATTAAAAAACATCAGATTTGATTTCAATATGGTATGGTATTTCAGTATGGTATTCCAATGATGGGGTGCTATTCCTCCCACTGACACCAATGATGGGGCACGATTCCTCGCTCTGACACCAATGATGGGGCACTATTCCTCCCACTGATACCAATGATGGGACACTATTCCTCCCACTGACACCAATGATGGTGTCCTATCATTAGTGTCAGTATGTGAGGAATAGTGTCCCATCATTAGTGTCAGTGGGAGGAATAGTGGCCCATCATTGGTGTCAGTGGGAGGAATAGTGCCCCATCATTGGTGTCAGTGGGAGGAATAGTGCCCCATCATTGGTGTCAGTGGGAGGAATAATGCCCCATCATTGGTGTCAGTGGGAGGAATAGTGGCCCATCATTGGTGTCAGTGGGAGGAATAGCGCCCCATCATTGGTGTCAGTGGGAGGAACAGCGCCCCATCATTGGTGTCAGTGGGAGGAATAGCGCCCCATCATTGGTGTCAGTGGGAGGAATAGCGCCCCATCATTGGTGTCAGTGGGAGGAATAGCGCCCCATCATTGGTGTCAGTGGGAGGAATAGCGCCCCATCATTGGTGTCAGTGGGAGGAATAGCTCCCCATCATTGGTGTCAGTGGGAGGAATAGCGCCCCATCATTGGTGTCAGTGGGGGAAGGAATAGTACCCCATCATTGGTGTCAGTGGGGGGTGGAATAGTGCCCCATCATTGGTGTCAGTGGGGGATGGAATAGTGCCCCATCATTGGTGTCAGTGGGGGGGGGAGGAACAGTGCCCCATCGTTGGTGTCAGTGGGGAGGAGGAATAGTGCGATTTTCGCGGGGCGGCTCGGCTCCGCCTCCTCGCTGGTGATTGGCCGCCTGTGTGCCTTTCCTGAGCTACAGTTCTGGCGCCCAATCACCAGTGAGGAGGCGGAGCCGAGCGGCCGCGCGGACATCGAGCGGCCAAACAGAATGAAGGAGCAGCTGCGCTTCCTGGACCGGATCGTCATGGGACGGGGACCGGAGCCAGGTAAGAAACAGCAGCCCCCTGCCCGCCCCTGTACTTAGTGTCTCTTCCGTTGGAAGGGGGGGGGGGCGGCACCGCGCCGCCCCCCGAAAAAGTGCCGCCCTGACACCGGCTCATCGTATACTGGCGTATAAGACGACCCCTGACTTTTCACAAGATTTTTATGGGTTAAAAAGTTGTCTTATACGCCGGAAAATACGGTAGTTTGTTTGGGCCAGCTTAGCCCAAATTAACTTTTTAAAGTTCATTGAAACCTGGAATTTTACTTTATCCTGCTGCTGTCTGTTTGCACTTTAATAAAGGAGCTATATAAATGTAACTATTCTATTCACAAGTCCTTTGTGCAGATGGCTTTTCTAATACTGTGAAAAAGACTAGTGTTCTAACCTGAAAGCCTGTGCATTGCATTAAACAGGGGGAGAGTGAGTTCTCAAGTGTGGTGGCAGATGGGACTTGTAGTCTTCCCAGATCCCTGTAAATGAATAATGCAGCTTTGTGGGCGGAAACTATACACAGCCATGCTACATTCAAATGTCAGCAGATGTCTGCAGGGAGAAGCACCTCATGATTCAGATAAGTGTTGGGAAGGGGGGATTGAATATGGAAAGTTGAGGAATGCAATCATATTTCATGTTACACCGTGAATATGGGGGTACCATGAAACATGTTCCCAAAGGTGGACTATGCCTTTAAAATGTAACAAAGCATACAAAAGATAAAAATCTTCCCTGCCCCCACTCCCAAGTTCCCCAGGATACTCAGATTTTACTACCTACAAGGCATTCAGTAGGAGTTTGCATCTGCTGTACTTTATCAGACCTACCAGTGCCTACAAGCTCTACACTAATCTCTTTCAATGCCCTTTATTAGCAAGCTTTCTGCTCTGACCTAATTTATTTATAGTGAGGATGGTGGCTAATCCAAAAGCCCCCTTATTGGCCCCTCTAAAACAGCTAATTTAAGGTCAAAGGCCAGGGAGTGCATTATGGTTACAAAGATTTTGGTCTTACAAATTCCCGCATTAATTTTCCAGGTCTGTGGCGTTGAACCTGAACTTCATACCTACCAATGGAAAATGACATATTTTAGTAATCTCTTCTAACTGTGGGATTGGTGGTTTTTATAATAAAACAATAAAAACCTCCTGCGCTACTCAAAATTGGACTACTAATTATGGGGAAGGAGCTGCTAACACCAAACCTTTTTCACTCTATTTGGCTAATTTCTAGCCTTTGTGGTCACCATTCCTATCAGTGTGATTATTGATCCCACATTCAGGCATTCACCTTTTTTGTTTATTATAGTTCATATATATATTGAAGTCCCATCAGGACTTTTTCTTTTCACGGGCGTTTCTATTTCTACACATTATTTATTAAATTTTTTCACATTAGTAGATCAGCTCACTTTAAGAGATTGATTTGTTGTTATCACTTTATTGCATTGGTGGTATTTTTAGTCACTTTTATGAATATTATTTTATGAATATAAGTTTTTATGAATATTTTGTATGTCCTAAACTGTTTTATGTGCATTCTAATCTATTTTACATATTTATCGTACATTATATATTGGTTTAATTATCTGTGTTTTGGGATAAGCCAGTAAGGGAGTAGTATAGTATTGGGGTAGCGCTGCACCAATTCACTTTATATTTTGCTTATAATAATAGTTGTAGCATAACCATGAGAGGTCAAGTTAATGTGTTATGACATGTACTCTTACATGATGTACTACACTGAATAAATCTCTAACATGAGGAAATAGCTCTATAGTTTTCTACCTTGTTATAGTAAACAAAAAATACTGCTTACACTTTGTTTAGCTTACAGGTAATAGTGAACACATGCTTCACATGATGATGCATTAAGAATGCCCAGTTAATGTCTCCCATAAGTGCAATAGCCTTTGCTGAATCTGTAGAGTATCTATTATATGACTCATAATATGCTGCTTCTTTATGTTACTTTTTATGAGGTTTTATTATTTCAACATAAGTGAAAAAGTACAAAGCTATTCTAAGCAAATTATTGATCTGCTCATTGTTTGCATAAAAAACTGTCTTGAAAAATAATTGTAAGAAACACTCAAACTAAAACCCTGGTATACAATAATATTTGTTTAACCTCCCTAGGTCTGATTATGTCCATATTTCTGTGCTCAAAGCGGTACATTTGTTTGCATGTAAATATGTATTTTTTTTTACGTAGGCCTGTAATTTTTAGGAACAACTCACTGAAATCTGTCCCAACAAGAGTCTAGTAAACATCCCGGGTATGTTAAATTTTAAACATGAAATCATAAATTATAATTTAATAAATAATCATAAAAATACTAATATAATAATACATTTAATTCAATAATATAGTCAAACCAAAAACACTGAAATCTGAAATATAGCGCCAAGTTCGCACATCACTGAGCAAAGTCGCAAAATCGTTTTCAGTGTCTGATGACGAATTTCCCCACGAATCATCACTCAATTCTGCAAGTGGTTCTGATTTACTATCGCTGTTCTTTAGCTGGTCCAAAACTGCTTTTGACCTAAAGGGACGCTTTTTGGATGCCATGGACATTTCACAGTTTCCAGGCAGAAAGAACAGTAAAAATGTAGGCAGGGCACAGGACAAAGCAGTAGGGACAAAAGGTATGTGAAATGGTTTGATACAGTAATGTTTTACTATGTTATTTTAGTGAATTTAGTGAATGTCACTTTTTGTAATTTTCAAATTTCCCGCTGTTCCGTCCCCCCCACGTCCCGACGCTCGCAGGGGACGGAACCCAGATGACAGATGCCGGCATCCACCGGAGGACATTACAGGGGACACTGCAGGGGGGACATCGCGGGAGCACAGCACAAGGTAAGAGAAGAACAGATCCCGGAGCAACGCCACATGGTAAGCCTGAGTGTAGCCGGGGTTACCGCTTGTGGTACTGAAACTTTACCCCGAGCTACACTCGGGAATACCGCTAGGGAGGTTAAGCTGTTCTGACATACAGGGGGGATTTACTAAACCTAGAGCGTGCAAAATCTGGTGCAGCTCTACACAGAAACCAATCAGCTTCCAGATTATATTGTCAAAGCTTAATTGAACAAGCTGAAGTTAGAAGCTGATTGGCTACCATGCACAGCTGCACCAGATTCTGAGAGCCCCAGTTTTAGTAAATCTCCTAGTGTGTGTGCTCTGACTACTATTGAGGATCATGATTAAACAGCCTAATGCATCTGTGCAGATAATTCACAGTGATAAATAGAAGGTACTAAAAGATCCTACACAGGTGCTGTAGCAAGGCCTCATACACACTGAGCATTTGTTTAGCCCCTGTGCATGATATTTTGGTGTTTTCATGTGAGCAGAAGGCACAGGAGAACCATCAAGCCCTGCTGCTGGCAGCGTGTAAAACTCTACAAGAGGCTGAAAGCCGTGGCAGCTGGACAGAACTGGACTGTGCACCAAATATTACTAACACTTAGGGTCGTACGCACCCAGGAATAAATGCCTTGCACTCAGACTTCTTGCATTCTGGGTATTTGTCCCTGGGCACATACTGTTCTAAACATTAGGACCACTCGGTGCATTAGCCACCCCATCCAGCTGCAGAAGCTTTTAACCTCTCAATTTTTGTTTCTGCATTTTTCACAAGGAATCTGTTCAAAGGAATAGAGTAGAGAGAGTTAAAACATTTCCTTGCACAAGGGTATATTATTATCATGTTTTTTAAGCAGCCAAGCAAATGTAAGTATGGCAATACACTTAAAAATGGCAACTCATTATAATAACTAGCCACTTACTTTCGCAAACCTTTGGCTTATTGTAGTTAGTGGTAGGTAACTGTGGTTATGGAAAGTATGCATTTATTATTTACTAAGCACTCAGATCACCTAAGGGCATATGGTGTGATTTTAACCACTTCCTGTCTGGCCCATGTATATAAACGGCCGGAGGGGAGCAGTGCAAAAGCAGTTGGCTGTTTATAAATGTCCTCCTGCCTCCCTGCCTGTGCACACTCCTCTGGACACAGCAGAACACTGATCACTGTATGGGACCTCTGTGTGAGGTCTCGATCATGTGATCACTGATTAGCCAATCAGTGATCACATGAATAGTAGTAAGCAAGATGTCACTTCTGACATCTGTACCATGTGACAAGTTGTGACTAATCCCAGCTCTCACAGTATTTCTCAGTGGCTGCAAGAATGCAGCCAGAGAGAAGGAGAAATGATTGCTTTTCAAGTCTTTATGGGTGTGAAAGCAATCAGTGTAAAAAAAATAAAAATCTTCATCACCCCCCACAAGTAGTACAGTGTCACTATGGTGACACTGTACTGCTAGGGTGACAGTATGTTAAAAAAAAACAAACAAAAAAAAAAATAAAATAAATAATAATATAAAAAAATAAAAAATAAAAACATTTTTTGGAAAATTATAATTTTTCCTTATAAACTAATTTGGGTTATTTATTTTTTTTTATTAAAATGATAGCTGAATACATTTTGGCCAAGATTTATGAAGAAAGATTATTTATTTGCAAAATTTTATAAGAAAAACACTTTTTTTTTTCAAAATGTTTGGACTTTTTCATTTATATAGCAAAAAATAAAAATCACAGTGGTGAATAAAAACCACCAAAATAAAGTTTTATCTGTCTCAAAAAAATGCTAACAAATTCATATGGGTACAGTGTTGCATGACCATGCAATTGTCATTCAAAGTGTGACAGCACTTAAAGCTGAAAATTGGCCTGGACAGGAAGGGGGTGAAAGTGTCTGGACTTGAAGTGGTTAAGGCATATTTGTTTTTGGTCACGTTTCACTTTGTGGGTCAGGAAAAGCAAAGCTTGGTCATTTATATATTACATATAGGTCATCATTAAACCAAGAAGCCTTTGGAGTGTAATGTTATCAACTTTATGGTACTAAATGAGAATCCCTAGATTATGCATTATCTGCCATTAGTGCAAAAAACTGCCCATTTTAATTATCCTCTGAAGCTGGATAACAGCCTCAGCAAGACAGCTTAAAGCTCCACCACAACCTGCAGATGCCAAGGCTACAAGGGACCTGTCCTCACAAACCGAAAGTGAAAGAATCCACACCACCACCAAATGCTTTATTTTATTTTTTAACCGTTTCAATACCGTGCAATTTTACACCTTCCTGTCCAGGCCATTTTTCAGGTTTCAGCGCTCTCACACTTTGAATGACAATTGCGCGGTCATACAACATTGTACCCAAACTAAAATTTTATCATTTTCTTCACACAACTAGAGCTTTCTTTTGGTGGTATTTAATCACCGCTGGGGTTTTTATTTTTTGCTAAATTAACAAAAAAATACCAAAAATTTTGAAAAAAAAAACACATTTTTCTTTGTTTCTGTTATACAAGTTTACAAATAAATAATTGTTCTTCATAAATTTAGGCCGAGATGTATTCTGCTACATGTCTTTGGTGAAAATAACCCAAATTAGGATGTATTTTTTAGTTTGTAGGAAAGTTATAGAGTTCACAAACTATGGTATAGATCTGAATATTGATCAATCCTGAAGTACTGACAGCCAATCTAATTTCTTGAGGTCCAAGAATGTCAGAATAGTACAGATATCCCCAAACGACCCCTTTTTGCAGAGTAGACAGTCCGACGTACTTCATAAGAGGCATGGCGAGTTTTTTGAAGTTGTATTTTTTTGTCATAATTTTTTCGGAAAATAAAAAATTAAAAAAATTATTTTCACTATTTTTTTTTTTACATACTGTCACCAGTGCAGTACAGCGTCATCATATAACTGGCATGGCGGTGAACAGGGACACTGACTGGGGACAGTATGAAAAAAAAATATATATATTTTTTTAAAAAAAATTTTTATTATATTTAATTATTTATTACATTTTTTTTTTTATTTTTTTAAGATTTTTTTTCATATTTTACTATGACCAAAGTAGTACAATGTTACCATAGTAACATTGTACTACTTTGGGGAAGTGATCAGTATTTTTTTTTTTTTTTTTACACAATTTGCTTATAGCAAAGAATTACTTTGCTATAAGCAAGCATTTACCTGAATGAAATCGATTCATTCAGCTTTTTTTTTTTTTTTTTTTTTTTGTGCTTAGCTGTGATTTGGTCACAGCTAATCACATGACATGTGCATGTGATTAGCTGTGACCATTCACAGCTAGGCACTAGTATACAATGGATGGCATCATGAATGAAGCCATCCATTGTATACAACTGTCATGTGACCTGCTGTGATTGGTCACAGGAGATCACATGGTACCAGCAACGGGAGCCGGTACTCGGATCTGTCATCGGCCGTGTCCGAGGTGCACGGACGGTGACAGATCGCACTGCTGCGCCGCTCTGCATTAGCGCAAACTGCGCATGTGCGGGAGCACGCCAAATGGCGTGCACCCGGAGTGCAGAGACAGTTTTGAAGCCGCCAAACGGCCATTGGCCGGGCGGCTAATGGTTAACCACTACAATACTGGGAACTTTTACCCCCTTCCTGACCAGGGCAATTGTTGCTAAATAAACACAATAAACCCCAAAGCTTTTGAAAAAAAAAAGTGTTTTTCTTTGTTTATAAAATTTTGCAAATAAATAACCTTTCTTCAGAAATGTAAGTCAAAATGTATTCTGCTAGATTTCCTTGGTGAAAATAACCACATACAAATTAGTATATATTATTTAGTCTGTAGGAAAGTTATAGAGTCCACAAACTATGGTATACACAGTATATATCTGGCAATCGATTAATCCTGATGTAGTGATGGCTAATCTCATTTCTTGAGGCCCAAAAATGTCAGGATAGTACAAATATCCCCCAAATGACACATTTTTGGAAAATAGACAGCCCAAGGTATTTAGTAAGAAGCATGACAAGTTTTTTGAAATTGTAATTTTTTTGTCACAATTTTTTGAAAAAGGAAGAAAGAAAAAGAAAAATTCACATTTTTTTAAACATATTGTCAACAGTCCAGTACAGCAATATCATATAACTGGTGTGGTGGTGATCAGGGACACCGATTAGTGACAGTATGTAAAAAAAAAATAATAATAATAATTTTTTAAAATTATTTCTTCTATGTTTTCTTTTTTATTACATTTTTTTTAACAAGTAACATTGTACTACTCTGGGCAAGTGAGCAGGATTTTTTTTACACATTTTGATTGGTTATACCAATGTATTTAATTGATGTTAACCATTTTTACTAAATTAAACTGATTCAGTGTCTTTTGTTGTGATTAGCTGTAAGTGGTCAAAGCTCATCACATGGTACCGATGGGCTGTGATTGGGTCTGGGGTGTTCCTGCTACTTTTCAAAGAACCCCAGCCCCAGGGAAGCCATCCCCATTCTACTGTGGAGCAGAAATTGCACCCTGGATTCCACTTGAGGAGTATGGTAAATGGGTAATAAAACATCAAAAAAATCATACATCCACTGGGGACTTTAAAGAGGGGCATATACTCGAAAGGCTTTGCAAACTTGCATTCTTTAAGACTAGTCCTGGTGAGCAGGTACGAATACAGGGAGTGGTGAAAGATAGCCCTGATACCATAATGCATGTAACATATCACCTAGATGAAGACATGGCCTTGTGTGAAGGGAATTGGGACCCCAAGGATGTAGACTGCCTAATCCCAGGAATTATTCTCTTCTCATTGGACAGTGCTAACAGAAACGCAATTTATGTTATATACATGTGGAGGATAACTTTATCTGATTTTCGGGTTGATAAATGGGATCGAAGGTGTGCTGCCTTCATAAAGAATCAGGTGTTCATGTTGAAAGGTTGGCTGCAATCAGGATATTCAGAGTACTTCCATTCCAGGGGCAAGAGAGGCTTAATGGAGACTGCCTTAGGAGCAGGGGGTGTGGTAATTGGTACCCTAAACACAATGGATCTGGAGGTGCTCAGAAACAAATTAGGAGGTCTAGCACAACATGTTGGGGAAGGGGTTAAGGTGCAGTTATATGTGGAT